TTCTCGATTGGAGTTCATATTGGAATTTCAATCTAAACATATTATATTTTATTATATAAAAGTTAGCTGATACAATAGATGATATGCTATAGAAATAAAATAAAAGCAATTATTTAATTGTTTGTGCGTTCTTTGAATTCATATAAGAAACTCCCGTATTCCTCAATTTTCCGATCTTTTCCACATATTTTCCCCAAAAATATTTGGGCTACTAGGAACATTTTCATTTGTTTTTTTTTCCAATTTTTCAGCCAATTCAGTCCAGCCGTTCTCAATTAAGCGTTTACCAATAAAAAGAACATTCACCGTTAGACTAAAATGTATACTTTTCTGTATGTCTTTTGTATGTGTATGTATGTATGTATATGTATATATATATATATTTATATATATATATATACATATACATATATATATATATATATATATATAGCAATTATCAATTTAACTTTAGTTTAAATATATATACTTAATATGCTTTCTTGCAGTAAGCACTCTTGACATCCAAAAGGGATTTATTTGAATTTAAAGTAGTTTCCCGATACCATAGTTCGTTATTGGTAGCTTTTATATTCAACGAATTCAGTCATACATGTTCATTATAATGAGGTCAAAAGTAATGGTTCTGCACACTGCCGACTTTTTAATATAAAACGATGTATTTTTTTATTTTTTCATTTTTATATTCTTTTATTTTTACTTGAGATGCAAATTTAGGGAATAATATACTTACAGTCACTCGTCTCTCCGTGTTATTTTTTTTAAATGTTGCAGCTCTTCTTTTGATATCATCTACATTATTAGATACAGAACAGAAAAACAAATCTATCCCATGGGAGCCGTATATTTTTCGATTTAAAAAGTAGCTATGTGTAATTCTGATGTATGAGCTATATTATCGTAAAATTTCATTAAATCCATTCAGTAGTTTTTGCGTGAAAGAGTAACAAACATCTATACATCTACACATCCAAACATTCATACATCCTCACAAACGTTCGCATTTAAAATATTAAGTACACATATTTAAAAAAAAACTTGATTTATACAAATGATTACAAAACCAGATCATCTTCTATAAAAATAATCAGAATAACTACACTCAAAAATTGAACCCGTGACAACTAACGAAGCATACAATATAGTCTTAAACAAAGTATATAATTAGCGTTATTTCCCATTTTGAAAGTTAGGTAAATGTAGTAAAAACCAACTTTACTAGCGAAATAGCACGATACAACATTCAAAGCGGTATGCGATCCAAAATGCACCTGACGTGCCTTAGTATATCACAAACGTCTGGTGAATACCAATATCCTACTGCGAATACTACGATTGCTATCATTATGTACGTAAAATTTTAAAGATTTCCCGTAACTGATAGTGGTTTGAAAGTGGATATTTTCACTTTCAAATCGTAGGTTTATATGGGGAATATTTTAGAGGGAGAAGACGGTTTCTTTAATAAAATAAAAAATAAATATGTTGGGACATTAGCACACAGTCTAGTTCCATGGTAAGCACTAGGCTTGTGTTATGGATACCAGATAGTTGGTACACTACACATATATAACTTTAAAAATATATGTACATATTATAAACATCCATGAAGAGAGTATAAACATTCGTGCTCATTACACAAATATATGCCCCCAGCGGGTTTCGATCCCGCGACCGTTGGCACAGCAAGTAGAGTCACCACAAACTGAACCAAACGTGTGGTCTTGGTTTTGACTCTATTTTTTTGATAAGATAATAAGTTTGAAATCATATTACTAATAATATTCAATGCAAAAAATTGTTTGTGTGTATGTTTGTTACTCCTTAATGGCAAAACAGCTGGATGGTTTTGGATGTTAAGTACACAGATAGACTATGATCTGAAGTATCACATGATAAATACAAAAGTCACGGACGCATAATAGCGAAACGAAATAAAAGTGTTTACGTCAAGCGGGAATAGATTCTGCGATATATGCAATTACAAGTGGCGCTAATTAAGTATGGGGTATTATATTTAGAACGCTTAAAATCCTAATTATATTTTTACTATGGCTCATATCATCTCATTTAACCTATAGACTACAAAAAGGAAGTTTTTAATTATTCTATTGCATTTCTACATTATAATTTTATTCGACGAATGCAAAATGAGCTTTTATGAAATAAAGCTTCTAATGAAAATTGTAGAAAAACTTTCACTTTTAATTTCATCGATTTTTGTTTGTTTGTATTCAAATATAAAATAAGTCTTCATACTATTCACATAATTTTCAACAATAACATTTTACATTCTCCTTTGTCAAAGCAGGTTCAAAACTAGTTAACAAAGTAAAAATTTAGTACCGACCTCAGACACTTAGGTGGAGCAATTTTGTATGTAGACAGTCGACTTTATCAAGAGGGGCCCTCGAAATTGGCGGTCGTTGTGGCTCAGATTGGCCAGACCAGCTTAATTTATAAGACACTAGCGGCTCACCCTCGCTTCGCTCGGGTTCGTCGCTAGGTACGTTTTAAATAGATATAAAAAGAAAAAATCTTTCTTTCTCACATTTTAATTATATGTTTTAATACTTACCTATTCCGGACTAAGAGAAATCCAAAAATTAAAATATCATAAAAATCTGAACGCGGTCGAACGGGATAAAAAGTATCCTATGTCCTTCTCCTGGCTCTAAACTACCTCCCTGCCAATTTTCAGCTAAATCGGTTCAGCCGTTCTTGAGTTATAAGCGAAGTAACTAACACGACTTTCTTTTATATATATAGATTTAATGTGATACATGAATGGAATTAAGCTTGTATATTATACTTTTCATATATTTATATGGAAATATGTTTAAATAACACTACGTCTCAGCAGTGGTAGTCCATTGGTAACGCGCTTTGGAAAACCGAGTAAAGTGGGTTCAAATCCCGGGTTTCGCACCTATGTGCGGATCATTTTCAACATGATTACCACTTGTCTTACGGTGAAGGAAAACATCGTGAGGAAATCTGCGCGTTTGACAAAACTTGGCAAGTATTCGAAAGACACGTGAAATCCGCCAACCCGTACTTGGCCAGTGTGGAGGATTATAGCCTGATCCCCTTCAGATTGAAGGGACGCCTATGCCCAGCAGTGGAACTTTAAAAAGGGCTGATTACATTTTGACCTACTAGTGTTTCTCGCGGTTTTATCGTCGTTTTAGTGTTTATTTGTTAAACGACCAATACTTGTTTTACTTTGCAGTAGAGATTTTTTTCTTCTATTTAAAAACAAAGTTTTATTTCTAAGATTTTTACACACATTTTTTTTGGCTTCATTAAAGTAAAATTTATATTTAATGCCAATAGAATTGACGTTCAAAAGTCAATATTTCTGTATTAAAATGTCTGGGTAAATTGGTCGTTTGAACAAATAAGGACTCAGGCGACGTTATATCTTTAGGAGCAAAAAAATAGGACTTTCATTTAAGCTTACGATATTCTTTAGCAAAATCCGTTCTAACATGACGTCTCCTACTTATAAACTATTTAACCTCTAAATTAGCTATAATTTGATAGATTTAGTAGTTCTCGAGATTTCATGTCTATTCAGGTAGTATAATACTAAAAGAAGATTCATGTTCACGTGAATCAGTCTTGTAATTTTCGAGTTATTTTCAAACTTTCTGATAGATAGACATTTATTTAATAATACGAAGTATAACATCAGATCGTATTTCTATGACAAATAACTCTACATCTAAGATAATCGATGAACAAACAAACATTAGTATTCGGAGCGTAAAGAAAAAGAATAAATACCTAGCATTCGAAACCATATCCCTGAGGTAAACAGTTCGAGGGAACGCTCCACTTTCGTCGATATTTTTATTTATAATATATGACGTGCTTAGAATATTTATAACGATTTCGTCATCTAGCAATACGGATTTTAGATATTACAACTACATTGACATTACGAATAGATTTTTGATAATTGTATTGAAATAACAAACTTTGTCATTATGTTATGGAATCTTATAATTAATATAAATGTGAAAGTTTAGATGTTTGGATGCTTGTTACTCGATCACGCCAGAACGGCTGATCAGATCTGGTGAAATTTGGCACAGAGATAGATTATATTAGAGATTTATATATAGTTTGGAATAGCAAAAAAGCTACTTTTTTCTCAAAAAATGTACGGTTCCCGCGGGATAGATGTATCTTTGTTTTTCACTCACTCGACAATTATAGGTGTCGGACAGTATCAGAAGAAATGGAAGTGTCAAAATGACAGCAAAGTTCATAACAATGTATAGAAATATTGTAATTTCCAGTCTCCATAATTTTCGACTCCTTTATTTCCTCAAAATAATTTTCATATACTTACACTCCCTATCACCTCCCCTATCGTAAAACCCGCCTCCTCTAAAGGCTACTTCCCATATACTAAGCTTGTGCCCAAATAGAACCGTTTCCGAGATACACGAAAGAAATGTATATTTACGAATATATACAAGAATTGCTAATTTAATATAATAAGATACTAAGGACAAAACCCTTACAAAATTATACAACAATTCTAATTAAAAATAATCCAAGTAAAATTGTCCCCCGAATTCGTAAAACGCAATCAAATGGTTGGCGAATGGAGAATTAGGTGCGATTTGTAATTTATCGATAGATAACTAGTTCAATTTAGACTCGATGTGACCTACTTAGGTAATGAGTTAGGTAATCTACGTGGATAATCTGGTAATGCAATTTTAGGTTCCATTGTTACTGTAGCGGCTACTTTATTGTTGAATTATTTAGAAATGTGATTCCCTTCGCATTTTAATAATAGTATCTGCAAAGCGTTTTTCGGAAAAGGTATAATAATTGCGTCTTTTTAGGAAAAACATCTACCTACATATATAGATAAACTTATAAAAGCATAATCTTATTTAAATACAAAATTTGATGCAAATCCTTAGGGGTCAGCCACAAGAATTGTCTGTTTAATATTTTATTATGTACATTTAATTTCACTTACCGTCTAATCGCTCTTTCCCATTGAAGTACCACGTCACTTTAGGTTGTGGCTTTCCTTCTTTCACTATGCAGCTGATGTTGACCCTCTGTCTCTCCAGCAAAGACCCGAAGGTGTCGCCATCTGACATTTCTTGACCCTGACCGGTGACCACTTGAACGGATTTCGGTCTTACTGTGAACAAGAAATAGAATGTTAGAAAGTCTTGTTATCGTTACTAATATTAAAAATGTGAAAGTTTGTGAGGATGGATGGATGAATGTTTGTTACTCTTTTACAGTAGAATGGCTGAACCAATCTGGATGAAAGGCACAGAAATAGATTATAGTCTGGAATAGCACATAGGTTACTTTTTTCCCTCGAAAAAGCTTTAAAAAATGCAACTTTTTATCCCGAAGCGAAGCCACATTTGAACTAAATGTATGTAGTTTGTAACTCTTAAGTATGGGTTTAATCCATTAATCGATGTAAAATTTTTGTATGTTTTTATTTTTGTTTAAAAAATAGCGACTAAAATGACTTAAGTATTCTCTAACCTCAATGTTTTTATTTAAATTTAATATATATGTACCATATTAAAATCTTTATAGTTTTATTATAATACGTACTACCAAGTTACCCTAGCTTCACTTAGATGCATCCCTAGAAACCTAATAGTATTCTATGTATTACGCTAGGTTAAAATACATATATAATATATGTCTATTCATCCAAACCCGTCCAGCCGTTATAACGTAAATGAGTAATAAACATACATACATATACAAAGTATCACACCCATATTAATATTATAAATGTGAAAGTATTTTTGTCTGTCTGTTTGTTACGTTTTCACGCCTATACCGCTATTCTATCCTAAACGTCGAAAAGTACCTAGGGATGCACCCAAACGAAGCGATGTAAGTCGCTAGTTTATTATAGGTACACGATTGGACTGATTTAGATGAAATTAAATAAGCATATAGATTATATGTAGCACATAGGTCAACAAATTCATAATAACGGAATTAAAACCATCTTAAATAACATAGCTTTTTCGTAAGTTAAGCAAATATTAATAAACCTATGATATTAATAATAAAAGCTCTAAAAAATATACTAACGAGCTTAAAAGCTTAAGTACGCATTGTCATTAGACCCATCGTTTTGATAAAACAATCGCGGTCCATAAACACAAATAGTTTATTATTTCATTAAAGTAGAAGGGGTAGGTATTTTATGAGATTTAACTATGTTTTATATTCTTGACTGACTTCAAATGAAAGGAGATACTCAATTTGGGTATGTATAATTTTCTAGATAATTTTAAGAAAATTCTGATTTTTTTTAATAAACAAATTAAATATAAATTATAAGAAAAAATCTACTTTTAAAGGAAGTGTAATGAAAAAAAAGCGATGAAGTCATTTAGTTCGATAACATAATATTTAGACTCCCTATCACCTATCCTGTCCAAAATATCACTTAATGTTGCAGAGTTTCTTTCCAAATACTAATATTGTGCCAAAAACTTATCACAAATATTAACAAATAGCGCAAATAATGGAACTTGCGATTTGCGACTACTGTGCCAGACCAAACCATAAAAAAACGCTAGATTTGACTTCTATCTAAAAGCATTTTCTTTTAATTTCGTTCAAAATTAAATTACTCAACCGCTTTTATTAAAATCCCAATAAAATATTAAGAAAATATAAATATTATCATAACCGCTTGTGTACTCGCCAGTCCCCGTCCAATCACGATGAGTCTACTTAATGTCATTACTTGATTGCTCTGATTTTGTTTTACGTAATTTTCTTACTGAAATTACATTCTTTCATGAACAAATACTGCTTATTTAAAATCCAATTCGGAATCGAAACTGAATCTAATAAGGTATTGGATAAGTATCATAGGTAAAGTCAATGATTGGATGGTATATTTTTCTATTTATTGAAATGTACGTTGGAAAATAAATATACGTGCATTGTTTTATAATCAACTAATGATTAACTTTGGCATTTCATTTTTATCTCTTTTTTTATGAGAAATTTCAAAATATTATTGTGAAAATCTTATTACCTACCTACTTATATATAATATAATAAAAGTGTAACTGACCGCTGTCTGTACATGTAGATATTTGAAAAAAACTATTATAAAGGGTCTTTGTTAACGCAATAGAACCTGAAACAATGATTTTTAGAATTTTTGTGCTTATTTCTGTGTGTTTATGCGCGCTAATCTCAGAAATGGCCTAACCGATTTGGGTGCGGTTTTCACTAATGTATTGTCATAAGCTTCACTTAATATTTAGTATTTATTTTATTTCAATAAATTCATAAATAAAAAATTTAAATTGACATTAAAGAATCACCTAGAAACGAATCCGAGCTAAGCCAGGGTAAATCGCTAGTACTATATGTAATATAAAATTGCTCTCATCTTGACATGATTGTCCAGACTAAATCGTTAAATGATGGGTAAAATTTTCACAACCTTTTCACGGGCAAAGCCGTGTTATTGATATCTGTATATTATACGTAGCTTATATTTTAGTTTATACTAAAGAAGAAAAAAAGGTGCGTGTAACCCATAGATTATACACTTATATACTGGGTGTAACCTTTACGCACGGTTGAAGTAAAACTTCTTTGGCAAATATCGTAATTAAAACAAAACAATAATTAAATAGGGCATATTAGAATTAATAAATATATTATATTTTTATACATAATAATTACTATAAAAATATATTTTTTTTTTAATTATTTAGAATAAATTTGACTCACACTTCAGCTACACTTAAAAAGAACCAGACTAAGATGTATATTCAATACAAGATATATAAGAAAAGATTATATGCAGTAACTAAAAAATAACAATATAGAGGCTCATGTCGGAATAAGAAAATCTAGTGCAGAATATACTGCTCAACACTTGACTTACCACTAACGAGCGTGCTTGAAAAGGGGTGCCGAGATACCACTTGGCACTTTAAACATGTAACGTGAAGATTAACGGACGCAGCGTGAAGTGTATTGTTCAAAAATTTCCGTAAAAATAAACAAAATATTTTATTAACACAATATTTCTACTTATTAGTTTCCATTTTATTTTATCTTCCACTATTTAAATTTATTTTTTTAATTAGGCTACTTTTTAGTATTCGAAACAACATTTTTTTTTATATCTATTGGACGTGAAAAGTAAACAAAGGAACTATTCAATGACACATCTGTCAAATCTGGCGCCAAATGCGTAACTGTCATGGCCGCGCAATACCTGTCAATTTGTTTTTTATGAAATGACGAAGGCTCGAACTATAGTGAATAATGCAAGATTTATTCGGTTTTTGTTATGATTGATAAGGTTTTAGTTGAGTTGATTTAATTTATGGGATTTGAATTTGATACCAGATTGATTTTAGGATAATTGTTTATTTTTATTGAATTGTTAAAGATATTAAGGTAATGATCCAAAATTATACTACCAAATGTTACAATTCATTATCTACTATACACGGCTATTTTACAGTGAGTTTGACGTGTATGTTTGTTTTGTCTTTATGTAAATTATTTTTATTTCTAATAAGAATAAAAAGTAGAGTAGAAAATTTCAGTTTTGTATCATTTATTTCTCTGAGGATTTCAATTTAATAGTTTATGGAGTTTTGCTTATATCTTTGGATTAATCGTACATACATTTCTTTATTGCCGATTGCTTTGATTATTTATTACTTTAATGTTAGTGAAATATAGTATATAGAGCGATAAAACTATTTTTTAAATATTCTATTCGAGCAAAAAAATACTATGTGCATACGTCACGAAAAATTTACTTTGAGCTCAATTAACGTTGTGACGCTGAATTTATTGCTGGGAAATAATGGTTTTTTTCATATAAATCCCATTAAAACTACGCAGCGGGTGAAAAGCTGTATTTAAAAAACAGTTTTTAGGCGAAAATCAAAGGGAAAGCCATAACTCTAATAAATCCCATACTAACCACGGTAGTTATCTAAATTGGCGGCAAACCTGACGCAGCTTGACATCTGTCGAGCGAATATTTGTCAACATGTCATAGTTTATTTTCCTTTGTATGACGGCATATTAATTTTGTTTGATGTTTTGGAGCAGACGAACTTTGTACGTACATTCTTAAAGGATAAACTTTAATCTGTAGTTTTGTTAACATTATTATATAATATATGTATACTAATTTATACAGAAAATAACAAAATTGTTGTTACTGTTTATCTGTTATGCTTGGCACTCTTTATATATTAATTTCGTTATTACAATCATTTAAGGGATTTTATTTTAGATTTTTAAGCGTTTAATTCACTTTTCTATTCTATTCTCACTGGCCTGGAAAAATAGTTAAAATATATTTTAATATATGAAATATACTTTAGAACTCATATAGGATAATGAACAAGCTACATAAAACTTTTCATGATTAGTCCAAATTATTTAAAAATATACAACCAATTTGATAAAACTATCATATAATAAAATAGACATACTGTATATATTGTGTAATATATTGTGTAGAATGACACTAATAAAACTTTGAGATATCCCTTCCATATATTCTTATATTCAGTACTTTTGGAACATTTATTTAATTCTTTTACAATCGTCAGTACTGCTCGGAAAGCAGTTCTGCTGAGAAGAGCCGGCGAGAAACTCAACAGTTTATCTTTTAAATAATGAGTTACATAATTAATAATAATAATTTACAATATTACAAACAATTCGTAACAAGTCACTACAAGTAGATACAGACATCTCAGTGCAAAAACGCGGCAAAACAAATGAATGTCCGCGGCCTTATTTTTTTTTAAATGCATTACTATCGGCCAAGGTCACATAACTAAATGCCTTATACATAAATCATTACAGATTAATCAAATATATTATTTTCTATTAAAACGCTCTTATATAAATATGTAATACAAAGATCGAGCACTGAAAATTATTTGCCTGGAAACCAAACAAAAATATACGTGCCAGTTTAATTCAACATAAGGCTCTGAAATGTAAAGCTGTCTTGTTTTTCATTATCAAAGTACGAATATAACTAAATATAACAGACAACACGAAGGCTTTGTACATCAATTAGCGTGAAAAGTTCTCCCACGTGTTCCTTACATGTTGAAATAACATCAACTCCCCAATTATAATAAT